TAACACCACATTTTGCAATAGTCAAGCAGTTTACTTCAAACCAGCTTGAAACCGACCTACATCATCAGCTGGGTAAAAAATGCTTTATAAAACCAGCTGCCTGCATGCTATGCATACACCCTTATTTGATTTAATCAAACTGATGGTGTAGTCTACCAAAGAGATCACTAGATTTCAACAATGAATTGAGTATTTTCCAGTTGGGTTTTCAAAGTAATAATAATATTCTGAAAGACATAACCTCCATTACCTAAAAGGATTCGTTCAAGGTTTGTATCAAAAAGAGATGAAGTTTGCCTTATGGAAACAGCGCACCAAGAATGATCAAGGAGTTTTGGGGTGGGTTTTTTAATACTATTTTTCAATGTCTTAAGTGAGTACAATGTATAGCCAGTTACTTTCACCAGTAATATATTGGGAATTAAGTTTGTTCTGAGGATCTACAGCATCACCTCTATCAAAGTTTCTCAGTCACGCAGTAAATACTTAATTTCTCCTTCATCATGTTGTTTTCTGCTTCTGGTTTTGGAATCTGTGTCTAGTTATTGGTTTCCTTGATGAAACAAACAACACTTAGATTTGCACTGGAAATCTCATTTTTGTCTGGCACTGGTGCAGACAAGGAGTACATACAGCTCCAAAATTTAAAAAAAAAAAAAAAAAAAAAAAAAATCAAAAATCTAACTCAGACTTTACCCTTTAGGGTAAAACAAACAGATGTATTTTCCTTTTGTTGTCTGTTAGTTTGATCCCTCCATATCAGATTTAATCCTGAGAAGTTCCTAAATTTCTGAAATCAGAACTACACAATGTGTAATACAAGGGTATTAATTCAGCTGTTGGTGAGCCTGCCAATCTGCATCCTGAAGCAGACTTTAAACTCCAATGTCCCTTGAGAAAATGAGCTAAAAAAACATTCCTGGCTCTCCTCATGCAGAACACAAAGCAGGGTGGGTCGTTCATTTCATAGCCTTTACTACCTGGCACTGTATTGCTTTTAGTATGCGGTAGCCATATACTTTGTATAGTTCAGAATGCCAAGGCATCACAAGCTATGAGAATTTTATAAGAAATACAATGCTCAGAATTTTATTAAAATTAATGCTTGGCTATAAAAACTCAAGCTATTCTGTAGCACTAACTCATCTTCAGTAAGGAGTAGAGAACAGACCTTTTTTCTGTCCATTATAGAACAGTTCTCATTAACCTGCACTCTATTCTGTTTTATGGCAGAAATTCTTTGACCTTGAGGAAGAGGGTGCATGCTTTCTTAAAGAACAGAAGAACGCTTCCCTTCCTAAATTAAATCGTAACAAATACATGGTGACCGATGGAGCTGCATACATTGGTAAGTAACCACATCACAAGAAATTCTAGTTTGTAGCCAAAAGCCTTGTATAACACCCATTTGTAGATAAGGCAACTACAGCTAATATGTTTAAGTTAAAATAATAGTTTGTTTCTTTGGGAACCTGGATGTAGACTGAGCTTTGTGTCTCTTCTCATTCAAAACCCCTTTTTTCCCCCCTACGACTCAGTTTCTCAAAAGCAATGTTCTGCTTTCAGTATTTATAAGTAGACTGAAAACACAAACACAACATACTTTATGAGATAGGGATAAATTGGATGATTAATATATTCTCTTGTTTCTGCGATGCAATTAAGATGGAGGGTTCTCCATTTCCCATGTTGTTACTAAAGCTGTGGTCAATCCTGGTAAATACTATACAAACACCTTTCAGCCTCATCTTCTGCAGTCTCTTTCCATTTTTTGTAATGACATTTGAGACAGCCTCCTAACGTTAGGTATGTATCTAGTTTGTATTCTTGGTTAAAGGTGTATCTAAGTAAAGTTGTTGTATGGCACCTAGCTAAGTTCATTATCAGTCAAATGCTCACTGAATGCAAGCTAAAAAAACCCTTTTAAAAAAGTCTGACTACTTGAGCTGTGCATGAGCTGCAGCATCAGAAAACTGCTACTGAATTAAAAAGTAACTCATGAGATTTTATAAATTCAGGAGAGAAAACATGCAGTCTAATACGCTGCAGCTTGGTGCTTTAGTAGCTTACTTCCTCACCTGATGTACTGCAAGGGTCTTAAAGCCAGCGAGGACAGCGGCTCCAACCCAGTGGTGTGCCCATGCACACATGAAGAATGGAGAATCCCAAGTAGTGCAGAGATACAACCAAGAGGTGCTCTGAAACGCTCACCTTGTGGGCTCTTAACATGCGCACCTCTCTTAACCTATCCAAACCTTATTTGTCACTTCAAGTGGGGCAGCTCATTCCTCTCTCATCTTCCAGATAGTTTATGAGCCCTCCCCCCTGTTCTTTTTACTCCATTTTAAATTCCTTCCAATAGCCACATCAAATTTCAGTGACTTATAATTTGTCTACACAGCATGGATTCTTAGCCAAGTTATTTTTTTCCTTTCCCATTGTCCTTACATCCAAGAAATAATCAAAGCTGTGTGAAAGTAATACAAGTGCATGTTAAGGACTTGATATATCTTTTACTTGAAAGCGTAGGAAGAAATGTCCTTTATGAGGCTTCAATTTACTATCCTTGACAACTTCAGAATTCTTTCCTGCTGTAGTAGCTGAAATGACGCTGAAAAGTTATAAATTTCTCAGATACCTTCATGTTTTATGTATGCTCAGCTATTGTTTTAAAAGATGACCTCTAGTAACAGCATTTTTCCTCCATGTTACAAAGGTACAAATTAAATAGTTATAGTGAAATAAAAAGAAATTACTGAAACACTTGGGTTACCTGTTTTCGATTAATCTAGTTAACCTCTTTGCCTTGTAATGATCAGGATTTGAAATGCTCATTTATTACCTTAGGTTTCAACTAAGGTGGTAATATCTGGCATAAAACAGTAAATCCTGTTTTTCTTTCCTGAAATAGTATCTATCAATGGGTAACCTGTAAAAGATCTATTGGTTTGGCTCAGCATTATGGCACAACCACTCCATCCCATCTGCTTCTAACTGTTTATATGGCAAAAAAAATATTTTCATTCTTGGCACTGAAAAGGCCAATGAGGAAAGTAAATGGAGCAATAATACATTATATGCAAAAGGAAGAGCAAGTTAGTTTTGAATAAATAGAAGAACCTGTTTTCACTTATGAAGGATTAGAGCCATTAAACTTCCAGAAATTATCTGCACTATGCGCTAGTACATAATGGGGAGTTTTTTCTTTCCTGTTAGTATAGGAAACTTATTTCCATCTCTGTCCAGGTAGGCACAGGGGAAAATGATACTGTTTCATGATGCATTGCCTTCGGGGAGATTGCTTTGCCTCTTTTTTTTTTTTTTTAAATGTTAAAAACTCATTATATATTCCTGCCTTTACTTGTAGGTAATTTTGATTGGGTAGGAAATGCTTTTACGCAGAATGCTGGAGCTGGCCTTGTTATCAACCAAGCAGACGCGGGGAACAGCACAAGCATCATTAAGCAACTCAAGGCTGTTTTTGAAAGGGACTGGTATTCACATTACGCCAAAAGTTTACAACCAACAAAAATCCCCAACTGCTTCAATCACAAACTTAATAAAGCAACATCAAATAAGACTGCCATGAGCAATGTGAATTAGAAAGACTATTTTACTGTTTAGTATGGCAATGAAGAATTGCATTGGGGTGTAGCCCTCTTTCATATTTACAGACAAAAGACTTAAAGAAAAAGCAAAAAAAAAAGTTTGGGGGGGGTGTTTTTAGGAAAAAGCACACTTATATAAAAACTGTCTAACTATATTCTCTATATTGAATTATTTAAGACTTTCAAATTTGTTACTTCTGACACTGAATGTCATTTCTGCTTCCATGTTAATTTTAATGTTCCACGTTTGAATTTAACAGCATGTGTCAATTTTTCCATTTCAGTTTTAGGACTGTCCCTAATTGCCATCCTAGCTAGAACGAACCTTAAGGCAAAACCAAGATGAAATGGCATTCTGAGATCAGTTATGACTGATATACAAGTAGATCGTAGGTTTACTGTATTAGAAAACATACAGGAATAAGCAAACTTCCACCCATATAAATCATTCCCTTTAAATAAATACCCAGTCATGCAAATACTTCCTAGTTTTGAGGATTTAGTTTGAATATCACTCTTCCATGTCTTCTAACTAGCCTTAAAATACATTAGAGTTACATGACTGGTAATTCATTCATCTCCTAGAAGTATGAGAAGGTTTTGAGGGACTGGGGTTAGCCACATCGAACTCATCATAATCCCTAAATCCTCTCAGATAAATGGAGTTTTTATCAAAGTAATGTGGATTCCTTTCAATATAGCAGTTATTTCCAATTAGATGCGTTTCATCTAACACTGAAAATCTCTGGATTAATAGCAAAGACTAGGACTGATTTTTTTCTTTGTGTAATCTCAAGAAAACTTCTTCCCCATGTATAGTATTTATCAAGTGCAAGTCAGGAGTTGCGTGACAACTCATTATCAAACCAATGCGCATATAAAATTCAAATGCTGCTTTTTAGGAAGGTCAAGGGTTATGCAAAATCATGCAATAATTGTTGTTAAATGATCACATGGTCATTTTGTTTGATTTTACACCTGGAAGTCTTTTCTTTCCTAACTTTTACTTTAAAAAAAATTGTGAAATGACATATTTTGTTAAAATGTCATCAGTATAGGTGAATACATCAGCACAAGCAGAAATATGATGCCTTCCTTTAGGCCACAGTTTCAGTTGGTGTTAATGGTGTGCCTCTACAAACACAACTCAGTTGCACCAAGAAGCAACGATTCTGTAAAAGCGTGAATTTGCTCTTTAAAAAAATACCTATGTTTGACAACAGATTTTTCTCCTGTCAGCGCTGTAGTAGCTTAGCTTTGTAGCAAAAATATTTCATTACTATCCCTCTGCTTTTGTTGAAGAAACATGGCCATGAGAGCAAACTGTGTTCTGCATTTTGTTTAATAGTCACAGAACTTTTTCCAAAACACACTTTGCTCACCTGGCTGTATGATACTGAAGGCACACCTCAAAAGCAGTGGGCTAAAAGAGGGGGAAAACCAACCATGTCCCAATACACTATTTTAATCTGAAGAACAAGCTCAAAACCCACCTTGACTTTGGGTTTCATTTACAAAAGAAAAGTTCAGGTTTATTTTAAAGTAAGCACAGCTTAGGAAATTCTAGTAAGGTAACATATGCACAACTTCAAATTGCCAGCTAGACACACACCACAAAACCAATTCTGACCACAAAAGGCCCCACTTCTGACAAAGAATGTTTGTTTCTTTTTCAATTGCCAAGATACTTACATCCCCTTACTGAAAATAGTGACATAACATCCTGCACAGCTCTTATGCTCAATAACATTTTATTATATTCTGATAAACACATGCGATTTAATAGTCTCCCCCCACACACACAGAAAAGCATATATTCTGGCATTCATGTAAGAAAGAAGTATCTAAAAAAAGTTTCCTGAGTTGCAATGAAGAGAAATTTCTGTATTTTCTTCTCTCTGTATATAATTTAGAATATGTATAGCAAGTATGGGAGAGAATTACCCAGCACTTAATTTACTTGTTGGGGTTTTTTTGTTTAAGAAATAAATATTAGTCCAGATTAATTTCTGGTGAAAATATCAGCTGAGTTATACCACCAATGAATTTAGTCTTATGAATCAAAGCTAAAAAAAAACAAAACAAAAAAACAAAGACCCAGTTGAGATATTTGTAAAGCTTCTGAGGCCCCTGTGTGATGGGTGATCTTAAAGCTTGAGATAAACTTAAGACCAAGTCCTTACATAAGATTTAAAAAAACCAAGCAAACAAAAAAAACCCCACTGTCCAGAGTTGGTAATTGTAGCACCTGATGGCAATAATATGCAAGAATTAATCAATGTAATTTTTTCCCTCTTGCATTATGGATACTAGAATTGTGTTTTTTAAATGGCATCTTGTACAAATAATGGAGGATCTGGGTGGAACAGAAATTTGTCAGATGATAAAGCTAAGCTGTCTATTTACAAAGCAGGATTTAGTGACAACATTAGACTGTGGAGTTACCACTGACCTTCTATTTAGTGTACCAAATGAATGATTCAGATGCAGTAGTTTTACTGGACAGATCCTAGGGAAATACAGTCATAAATATTAACCAGAGCGACTAGTTTACAAATGCATTCTTATTGGCTTGACAAACAAATTCTGGTGCTTCAATGACACCCCAAAAAGAGCTGATATGTAAAAACATTTTAAAAGTGGCTGTTTGTTCTGGTTTTATGAATGGAAGAATTTGAGGTTTTTTGAACAACTGTTCAAAACAGTGCGAAATAGCCGCCACCCATCCTACAAATGGACTGGCACTCTCAAGTTTCATTTGGTATAAAGTATGGATTAATATTTTAATAACAATTTAGAATGGCAGCAGCTCCAAAGCAGCACAGGCGGCTTTGGTCTGTTACATTAACCAAAAGACAAAGTGCATCCTTGGACTTCAACAAGTAGGAAATTGAAAATACCAGATTCTCTTTTTGAAGTCGTTCAAGGGGATTATAGCCAATTACTTGTTTTGGGTTAGCACTGTTAGTGTTTAACTAGATTTGCCACAGCAGCCTCGATTCTGGCTTCTACCAATGTAAATATACTGGAGCAAATCCATTACAGTGATTTCACATTGGTTTAGCAGGGGTCAGAATCCAGACCAGTTTCCTCTTGCTTTAGCTCTCCTGAGTATCACCGCTGCACAGGCCATTTCCAAACTTAACAGGGGTTTGCATTCAGTGGTTTCTCAGAGGCCTCACGGGCATAATCCAAAGATGCACTTTCTCTAGCCCCTTTCTAACTGGCATTGGTAACTCTGTCATATTAAAGGCAATTTCCTAAACAGAACAAACTGCTTTATTCTTAAAGAATATAGACTGTAATTGTTGTTTGCTGCAAACATTTACTAGTGCCTTATTCATACAAGTTTTTGTTTAACTGTTCCTCACGTGAAGTCCTGCTAAAGATCCTGTATCTAGTACTGAGACATACAGCGAACTTCCTAAGTAAGAAGGTGACGTATTGTGATGTTTACAGGTTAGTACCTAAAACTAGAGTCACAAAAAACCAAAAATTGAATGCGAGATGTTTGGTCCAAGCCACAAGAACATCTAAACCTGAGCGTTTTTATCCAAGCCCAGTTCTAGAACTAAATTTCACTAATCTCTTCTGTCTTCATTATCAAGTAATCCACAACACAGTTGAATTATTCTGTCTTGCCAAGGTGTAAAATTAAGTAAAACCCCCAACTCCCCCATTAAGTAATTTCCCTAACACCTGGCTGGTATCAAAAGCAGAACCACAGAAATTCCTGTAAGCACAGGGTAAAGTCCAAAAATCACACAGTGGCTACTTTACAAGTCTTGCTTTGGGCTGGCTACCACTCTTTTCTGCCTGAAGCATGAACTAGAGTCCACAACTACTCTCGCCTCCTCTTTGAAGACCAGTGAAGCATGGATGGTGTGCCACGGCACAATAGCCACAGCTGTACCCTGACAGGAACAGTTAAGGTTTTGTCCCATTTTTTTCTCCTCACCTTTCCCTAGGAAAAAAAAAAAAAAAATATCTTCAAACTGAATTTGAGGTTGTGCTGTACCAAGTTTTATGTTATACAGGGCCAAGTGTTCCTTCCAGTAAATCCAGGCTCTGCGGGTGGTTCAGAGAAGAGCTTGAGAAACAAGTAAAAAAGCCTCAGAATGCTACTCAGAATGACCTATCCATTATGTGCTGCACTACTAGCTACGTAAGTTCTGCTTCTTTGTTGATGTTTGCATACAGAAAAACTGAACAACTAAGCTGTGTGTGACTGTTCCCGGCCATTTAACCCTAATCTAAGGAGAAATCCAGACAAAGAATTTATAGGGGTTTTTTGTGACTTTAGTGTGTACTTACTGAAAATAGCGCAGACTTTCTCATCAAGATGGTAAAGACATCAGCTGGCTGTTCCAGTTCTTCAAACAGAAATCCTTTATAAATATCCCCATCTTGAATATCATGTACTTGACTCCTAAGAATGGCCTTATAGAGCGCACTTAGTTATCCTAAAACCATTTTGGACTTCAAAATTAACTCTGCATTTTAATACAAAAAATACTGACTATATGTATAGTATGTTTCCAGATGGTAATTTCTGGCACTGTGTTTTTTCTTCCACTCTTAACCTTTCTCTACGTATATATATTCACGGTTTTTTAATCACTGTTAATCCAATTCACTCTATGTAAAAACCAGAATGAATCCGTGGTATATTTAAAATTCACAATGATACCTCCTGAGTTGAAGGCACCAGTAAACATATTTCACTTTTAACACTGCAGAGTATAGTAGCTCAACTGATACTGTAGTGATTGCTTTTCTTAGCTGTAGTTTTTCACTTTCATTACTGCTGGATGTTATTTATGAATTTCTCAGTGTTGAATCAGGTTGCTCTTGTATCATCACTTTGCACAAATGCCTTAGAAGCTTGCCAAACTAGCATGTAAAAGAGACCTCATTCAAAATAGTTTAGACAAGAAAAGAAGAACTCACGTGCTTTACACTGTGGATGCTGAAGTCAGCAGACAAACTCCAGTC